CTTGTGAAATCACATTTAATCTGAAGTTTTAACTTTACTTTACAGATTAAATTGCAAAGTGTAGAAAGATACTGTAGAAAATAAGCAACCGCATGGGTTAAGATCGAATGTAAAAATATCAGGAAATATTGCTTATAGTACCAATGAATGGATAACAGATAACTTTTAAGTGCAAGATTATTTTTATGAAAACAAACAAAAGTAGTAAGTTTAATATTTCTTTATTTTACATCAATTGTGAATAAATAACGTACATGGATAAACAACAGTACGATTTTCACACCTATTATTCAAGTAATTTTATTATACATGTACCAGAAAACCTTACTAAATATAATCACTTTTCATTATCTCCTTACACAACTAAATATAATCACACACCAGAAAGAACTAGTTAAAATTAACAATACAAGGTCATTTCCATTATACCCCTTTTACACATTTAATTACACTTAAAAGTACTTGCCAATATTAACAAAACTTTATTACACTTAAAAGTACTTGCCAATATTAACAAAACTTTATTACACTAGAAAGTACTTGCCAATATTAACAAAACTTTATTACACTTAAAAGTACTGGCCAATATTAACAAAACATTATTACACTAGAAAGTACTGGCCAATATTAACAAAACAAAGTCATCATTCAACAAAAGTCATGGGCTTAATGCTTCAAATATTGAACCATACTTGTCTGGACATTGCCAAACTCTATTCAAGCCCTATTCACTTGGAAATTTTGATACTGCAATCCATTAACTATAAATGTACAGTTTCTAAGACAAGGTGGTGTTGGTAGTTTTCATCCAGGATCATGGCAATAAAGCCACATTGAATTTACCAGTGCACAGTTCAGCCACCGCATCATTCTTGGGCAGGCTGTCAAACAGATTATCAGTACTTAAGTTGCCTTCACTTCCGTAAGGAACTGAAACTTCTGTACATACCAGAGCAGAGGTACAGTGCGAATGACTGTAGCAAAGAAATTTTCATGATCATTCACAACAAAAGGGACCTGTGCCTTACGGGAATCGAACCTGTGTCGCCCGATTCATAGTCAAACGCTTAACATATTATCTTAAAACGCCGGGCTGTTCCAAAAAGTCAAAGTTTGGACCCCAGTCATTATATAAACTTACAGCAAGGATCTACTTTGTTAAACAATTTGAACTGAATAAAACAAATTTAGTTACACTAGATCCTTTAAACAATCTTTATTGCTTCTTGTTTAATTACTTTTGCTTTCGTGGTTGGAAAAAAACCACCATCAATTAGTCATTAAAAAAAAAAAATAACAAGCTTTCTATGTTTATATTCTTATATAATGTTTTTTCTATAGCTATTCATTTTATATGTTCTTTTTGTAGATTTTGTTGTTATTTATCATACCTTTTGTTTGTATATGTTTATTTTATGTACATTGTACAATTGATGGAGGCTCATAGGGAAGACTGGGGACGCCCAACTGTGTTGCCTCTTTAAATAAAGTCTTATTATTCTTATAGCCTCACTTTATTCCAATAACCTTCTAGAATAACTTTCCTTTATTTAATTTTAATTACCTCCCTTTTCTCTCCTTTGACTAACTCCCTTCAACAAAAATAAAATAATAAACATGAAACTTCATAATTTTGCCGATTCTTATCATAAAATCATTGATAAAGTGTGATTTTTTTTTTTTAATTTGTATGAAAAACACTGTCCGGTTAGCTTAATAGGTAGAGGTTGGACTGTGAATTGGGCGATCCAGGTTCAATTCCCAGACGGTGCAGGTCACTTCCATTGTGATTGATCATAAAAACCTTTCTTTGGTTATTTGCACTGTACCTCTGCTCTTGCATGTACAGAAGTAATCAGTTCCTTGTGAAAGTGAAGGCAACTAGTACTGCTAAACTGCTTGACAACCTGCCAAGGAATTGTGGTGTCTGAACTGTGCTGTGGTAATTTTAATGTGGCTTATTGCCGCAATCCGAGAAAACTACCAACACCACCACCAACACCACTTGTATGAAAATAGTAAAACATGAGTCAATTGTTTAATAATCTCCCTATATCTAAATAATCTTTGTAATTTCTCTTTATTTCAACTAGAACTGCCACTATGATGGCGTGAATACCCCCGCATACCACTTTGTCAGAATCAACAGTGGCCATTTAGAGCTCAAGGACAACCTCCCTGCCAAATCTGAGGTTACTAAGCCAGTGCATTGCTAAGTTATGTATTCTACATGCTTCGAATGTGAAAATGTCAAAATCAATACATTGCGGACAGGACATTCTTTAGCAATTGAGAAGAAAAGCTTTTTTTTGTCAAGGTCCCTGTGACCTTGACCTTTCACCCAGTGACCTCAAAAATCAATAGGGGTCACCTTATAGTCATGATCAACATCCATGCCAAATATGAAACTGTGGGTTAAAGGAATCTTAAGTTAATGGCGTGGACAAACTTTTTGAAGTCAAAGTCCCTATGACCTTGACCTTTGATCCAGTGACCTCAAAATCAAAAGGGTCATCTACTAATCATGACTAACCTCCATTCCAAATATGAGACTGTGGGTCATAGGAATCTTAAGTTATTGGGCGGACAAGCTTTTTGAAGTCAAGGCCCCTGTGACCTTGACCTTTGACCTAGTGACCTCAAAATCAATAGGGGTCATCTACTAATCATGACTAACCTCCATGCCAAATATGAAGATAAGGGTCATAGGGAATCTAAGTTATTGGCGGACAAGCTTTTTTGAAGTCAAGGCCCCTGTGACCTTGACCTTTGACCTAGTGACCTCAAAATCAATAGGGGTCATCTACTAATCATGACTAACCTCCATGCCAAATATGAAGACTAAGGGTCAAAGGAATCTTAAGTTATTGGCGGACAAGCTTTTTGAAGTCAAGACCCCTGTGACCTTGACCTTTGACCTAGTGACCTCAAAATCAATAGGGTCATCTACTAATCATGACTAACCTCCATGCCAAATATGACGACTGTAGGTCAAAGGAATCTTAAGTTATTGGGCGGACAAGCTTTTTGAAGTCAAGGCCCCTGTGACCTTGACCTTTGACCTAATGACCTCAAAATCAATAGGGGTCATCTACTAATCATGACTAACCTCCATGCCAAATATGACCACTGTAGGTCAAAGGAATCTTAATTTATTGGGCGGACAAGCTTTTTGAAGTCAAGGCCCCTGTGACCTTGACCTTTGACCTAGTGACCTCAAAATCAATAGGGGTCATCTACTAATCATGACTAACCTCCATGCCAAATATGAAGACTAAGGGTCAAAGGAATCTTAAGTTATTGGGCGGACAAGAAAAAACCGACGGACGGCCGGACGGACGGACAGCCGGACGGACGGACGGACAAGCTGATTCCAGTATACCCCCCTTACAACTTTGTTGTGCGGGGGTATAATAACTTCCCTTTTTATCCGAATCAGACCGAGACTGTGCTGCCTGATCATGGTTTGCACTGTTTGCTATTCATTTAGTAAATATTTTGAAATTTTACCCTAAAATTGATGAATGGTTTTGTCCAGATTGAAAGATGGACAAATCCATTTAAGACATTTAGTGTGGAACAGGTTTAAATGGAAAAAAGATTATTTAATTGAGGTATGGAAATACTTCATTATCTAGAGTAATGACGGGTAAAAAAAACATTATAGCCGAACAAATCATTTATGACCATAATACTATTTTATTATACTTAAATACAAATACATTTCATACTTTTGTAGTGTATGTACAAGTATTGAATTTTTTTTTTCAAAGGACTAGATGATAACAAATGATATGATGTTTTCTTTTCATATTCTGTTTTAAAGCATTTGAAAGCCTGTTTCCTTAAAGGGACTCTACTGAGATTTTTTGACATGGCCGAAGAGGAAATAAATTTTCAAGATTAATGTTTAATTAGGAATCCATATAAGTGACTTATGTAAACAAGATATTAGATCAATTGCTCACTCTGTTTTTCCAGAATAATTTTTCTAAATGTGAAAAATGACATGAAATTGAAAAGTGTTGCAAATTGAACCAGAAAAAAGCTAAAAAATATTATTTTCAATATTTCTGCGAGTACATTTTTTAATTATCTTTGTATATCGTTCTCTTTTAAGAGTCCCTGTTGATCTAAGAAATTCAAAATTTATATTTTCAGGATTTTTAACCTCAGTGGAGTTCCTTTTAAGTGTATAATTTTTGTGTTTATTTGATTGGGTTTACGTCACACCAACACAGTAATATGTGATATGATGATGTTCCAGCTTTACTGGTGGAGGCAGACCTCAGGTGCCCTTCCGTTCATTATTTCAGGCAAGAACAGGCACCCGTGTAGAACAGACATTCCTTGCGCTAGCTAAAGTGAATAAATCTATATATCTACTGTAATAATTATTGTTCAAATCTTAACAAAAGAATACAAAATGTTTGTATGAAAGAAATATGGTAGAAAATTACCTTAAAAGCGAATGATGCATACACAAATTCATCGCTACACAGATAAAACCCTACTCAGAATAGCAAAATAATAATTTTGTTCTGAAACGTTTTATTCTGTTTGTGTACAATATGCATGTTAGTTAAATAAGAGGCATTCAATGCAGCAACTCTTGAGAATTGAAGATAAAATTATTGAAACAATATATTATTACTTTTGATAAATTAAAAAAAAAATAATTCCTAAGATATAACACAATACCCTTTAAAAAGTTATAATGTTCAGTTGTTTCTTTATTTTGTTTTGTGTAAAGTAAATATTATGTTTACAAATCTGAAATTGTGTGCATGTACAACTATATTACAGCATTATTCTGTGGTTCTTAGGGTAAGAAATTTACACAATACGATACTGATTGTACAAAACAAGATGGTACAAAAAACAAAGTAAATGCTTATTCGTATATTTATATCATATTCTTCAAAATTTGGTCTTCAGTGTAAAGCTAATTCATGCTTAGCTTTTTTAATAACATTATAATTGTATAATAAATATTAACTAAAAATTATTTATAAATCGGTGCTGTAATTTTCGGAACCGGCCGAAGACCCGCCGGAATGTGTACGGGTGTGACCACTTGACATTTTCGTATTCTTAATATCTTTATTTGATATACTAGTCTTTAATCCGCTAGTTGATTTGACATTTGGTGAACTATGTTTGCCCGTGTGCGGTGACGAATTCAAGTCATTTTCTTTCCCTTTGTTAAACGAGGTCAATTCTATTGTGTCAAGACTACTTCTTTGCCCACCTCTGGCATGAGCAACTTGCACACTATCTATGGCCATCTCCACGCTGCTTATAGAATTATTCATATTTCTCGACTCTTTGTCTTTATTTTTAGCTTTCTCTCCCTTTTCCTTCTTCATTTGTTTAGCTTTGGTAAATTTCGGCTTCGCTGCCGCATCATCTTCAGTGATTGTTGGCAATTTGCCAGTTTCATCTAACTGGACAGGTATATCATCTAAGAATGAAATATATACATTAATAAATAAACACCAAATCATAATATCAACTATCATTACTCTTTTTTTAATAAACATTTTACCTTTATATTTAAATGGTATGTTACTTAAAACTTAAAAGAGAAACCCCAAAGAGCCCCATTTAATCAATATCACTGGTGACTCAGATTAAGTAAGAGCTGTGAAACATTCATTTTACTAACAATTTCACTTATATAAGAAATGTATAACAAATCAAAGATGAAATCTTCATGCTCAAGATACAAAATATCTTCGAAGGAGTAAAAAGTCCAGTACCATGACCAAGAAATTTGCTTCTTTGTAAGAAATTATCATTTATACAAACCTGGTAATTTCTTGGCTCTAAAAGAGGCATTGGTTATTGCAGTTTTGGATAGAGTATAGTTTGATGATGCTGGTGACAAAGCGAGGCTCAAACCAATTGGTCCATCATCTGGCTGTCCGCTAGGATTCTCCCTCAACGAGTTCCTTATTGCATTTGTTACCTATAATATACCAAGGTAAAGGTAAAAAGTTCGTAGATCAATACTTACAAGCATAACATAAAAAAACCCACCTCATAACAACTTATTGAGTCAATACTTAACAGGCATAACATCAAAGAAAAGCTCATAACAAGTTCTTAAATCAGTACTTTATAGGCATAACATCAGCAAATAGGTCATAACAAGTTCTAGAATCAATAATTATAGGCATAACATCAAAGAAAAGCTCATAAGTTCTTGAATCAATATTTTATCAAAGAAAAGCTCATAAGTTCTTGAACCAATACTTTAAGCATAACATCATAAGCATTTCATCAGAGAAAAGCTCATAACAATTTCTTGAATCAAAACTTACAAGCATAACACCAGAGAACAACTTCAAATCAATACTTTCACGAATAATGTCAGCAAATAGCTCATAACAAGTTCTTTAATCAATACTTTACAGGCATAACATCAGAGAAAAGCTCATAAAAAGTTCTTAAACCAATAAGTAGCATAACATTAGAGAAAAGCTCATAACAAGTTTTAAAATCAATACTTAAAAGCATAACAAGAGAAAAAGCTCACAAATCTGTACTTACAAGCATAACATCAGAGAAAAGCTCATAACAAGCTCACAAATCAATACTTAAAAGCATAAAAAGAGAAATAGCTCACAAATCAGTACTTACAAGCATAACACCAGAGAAAAAAGCTCACAAATCAGTACTTACAAGCATAACACCAGAGATAAAGCTCACAAATCAGTACTTACAAGCATAACACCAGAGATAAAGCTCACAAATCAGTACTTACAAGCATAACACCAGAGAAAAAGCTCACAAATCAGTACTTACAAGCATAACATCAGAGAAAAAGCTCACAAATCAGTACTTACAAGCATAACATCAGAGAAAAAGCTCACAAATCAGTACTTACAAGCATAACATCAGAGAAAAGCTCATAACAAGCTCTGTAATGGATATCAACTATAGCTTGAGCCCCTGGTCCTGCCTGGCCATTAAACCTGAAATAGTTATAAAGTGCTGTTTTGTTTTTTCTAATGGAATCTAAATACAATGTACATAACCAACTGTTAAGGTAATATTTATTTCATTTTCAAAAACAGATCACATTAATTTCAATATGGAAGGGCTTTTTGTTTGCACAGTATAACTCAATGGATAACATTTGCAATTACTTTTTTTTCAATCTTCCTGTTCCACAATTACATTTTTTTAAAACCTTATTTAAGTGTGTCATGTTGAAAACTTTTTTGTTATGTTTTTATTTTTTAGTTTATACAAATTCATTTTACTACGCTTGTGTTGGAAGATATAAGCTTATTGAAATATTCTCGAAACCGTTCCTGAAACCAACCAGGACTAAGCAATGAATGTAAAGTTTCTTGCTCAAGGAAACAACGGCTTGCCCCTGACAGGGTCTGAACCCACAAGGTCAGCAAACCTTAGATTACTTGTCAGACATGTTAATCACTCAGACAGGCCGCCACTCTTTTTATTTTTGGATTGACTAGTTTAAGACTTAACACAAACATACCATTTCTGCTGTTTGCTGGAAATTTCATCATTCTAGTGAAAATAAATATTATCACAGTACAAATTAAGTTGAACATACATAACTCACATGATGTAATATAAACAGGACAGCATATCAATAAGTAACGCTGGACTGACGCTGATTCTTGGACTGAGCTCTCCACTCCGACTCGTATGTTGCGAATAATCAGTAAGGTTTGCCGTGTTCGTTCTTATGACATCATCGTCATCATCTACTTGCATCAGTGTATGAAAGCCTGTAGTCACTATCCTGTAAATAAATAGTATCCTGTGTTACAGGGTTTCACTAGTAATAGACACAAGGCTATCTGATAGGTATGAGGGGGCATAGCCCCCGAGTATTAATTAGATTGCTGAGTGTTTTGATGTTCTTTCTCTTTTGTATCATAGTCAAACATAAAAACACGTTCCCTGTCGTCACAATGTGAAACCCCAGAAAAAAAGTAACCAATGAATGAGGATCTGAATATGATATGCATAAGAAATTACTGCTTTATAAAGTTTACACAGTACATTTTCTGATCATGGACTGAGCTGTTAGCTATTCAGTCATTACTAAATTTGTATAAAAAGTATAGGTAAGTTCACATTGGGCTCCTATAATATACACTGTGGGGAGCACATGGTAGCCATTTTGCCTTTTCATTCTATCTTTCCTTCTTGTACTCATACACATGTATTTAGTTATCATTTCTCATAGACACTTCATTTATTGACTGACATTGTACATAATTGTGGTCTGTAACCATTATATCATATTTTCTCTGGAAGAAAATAACAGCAGACAATAACATCTCCCCTTTTAAATAATGTAACCTACTAGTGGGGGCAGAATATTTTGTGTAAAGTTACAACAAGTAACTTGAGTTACAGAATAAATATAAGGTTTAATTTCATCTTAAAATAAATCTGCATTGTTTCCTGCTAAACAATCTTGTAATAAAACATTGTATGTATGAAATAACTATCTTGTAATTATATTGTATGGTAACTTTAAGCACAGAGCAAGTATCTTGTAATTGTAATTAATAAATATGAGTTAACCTCAATAAATTTTCAAGCATTGTTTTTCCATGTAAGCAATTCGATAATTTTCAATGTTTTTTGCATATTGTTATCATGTTTAAGGGGCGTCCGTGGCTGAGTGGTTATGGTTGTTGACTTCAAACCACTTGCACACCACTGTGGGTTCGAATCATGACAGGGACTTTGGATTCTTTCATGTGAGAAAGCTAACCAGCTAGCTTACGGAACGTCGGTGGTTCTACTCAGGTGCCTGTTTGTGCCTGAAATAATGCACAGAAGGGCATCTGAGGTCTTCTCCACCAGTAAAACTTGAACGTTGCCATATGAACTTATTCATCAAATAACAAACTGTTGAAATTTGATTGGCTAAAATTCTTTACAATTTATGACGTAAAGCATATTTCTACAAAAAATAAATGATACATTACATATTTTTATCTTTTATTAAAGATCATATTTTCTATAAAGTAATTTATCCAAATCTATATTTAAAATTAAAAATATATAACCAAAATGAACAAATAAGTTCATATTCTACTATGGTTTTCCGCAAATGCAAAAAATTATCATGAAAAAAAATCATCTCTATAATTTTTTAAAAGGCTATATCTTACATACCGCAGAAACTATAGAAAATTTTACACACTAAATATTGGCAAAAATAAACAGCCAACTCTTATCAATAACTGAAGAAACATTCTATCTTGCAAGTAAATTTTCTAAGAAGATATCCCGCAATTTCGCACCAAAAAATATTCATTTGTCTACGGCAGTATGACAAAAATCTATAGAAAATGTTCACATACAAATCTGTTTTCCCCACGGGAAATATAACACTGTAATAGATAATATCATGTCTTAGAACAAAGGCACGGTGACGAATTGACATCTTGAGTATTGAGATATCGTAGGGTTAAATGCAGCACTGTCATTACTCAACTAACTTAAAGAGCGAGCAAGGACTTAAATGCAGATAATCTTAATATTGTAAGATCTATGACATTCATCCTATTTATTGGTATTTCTATGACAATTAAAATATTTTTCCTGGAAAATTACCATATCAGTGACATGCTCATTCTTAAATTTCTTCATCTTACTTTCATGACCCTGTTGTATATACACTATTTTAAACATATCGAAAAATTTAATTCAAATGCTATCTGAGAGGTAATAATAACTTTAAATTAACTATGTGCTTCCAGTATTATAAGGGTTATAGGCCAATTTACATTATTTCAGGCACAATCGGGCACCTGAGTAGAACCACCCATGTTCTGTTAGCTAGCTGGATAGCTCCCTCACATCAATGAAACCAAAGTCCCTGTAATAAGATCTCAAAGCTTACCTGGAGCACATTTTGCAGAATGTTTTATGAGATCGTGCCGACAAGGTGGAGATATTGTTATGGTAACACTGTAGTAGGTACGCCAAGATGCTGTGCCGATTCTGACCATTGATGGACTCATACTGGGGATGGGGGCCATCTTGGTACACTGTCTGTTCCGCATTAAATCTCAGCAACAATGATTCGGATAATGGTGCACAGCTTAAGGTCTGCGGCTGAAAAAAATAAAATAAAAACAATGGTAGGGCTATTCTACAAGCTGCAGCTGTAAATAAAGGTCTTTGGCTGTAAAAATAAAATAAAAACAATGGTGGCGATATTCTACAAGCTGCAGCTGTAAATAAAGGTCTGTGGCTGTAAAAGTAAATCTTTACCAATGGAGGTGTCATATCCAATCTGTTTTCTTGTTGTTTTTTCTCTATAATATTTCTTTGGATGCCTGAAAGGCTTAACCTGTAAATCTGGACAAAACCATTTATCATATTTCATATACATGTGTATGTGAACTTTTTTTGATGATCAAGTGGGAGATTATTCTTCAAAAAGAGGGAGATTTTAGAATTTGCAATAAACACTTTAAGAAGGAAATTCTTACATCAAAAATTGGGAGATTTCTTTAATTTCTTTAAATACCCCTTATTTTATGAAAAATCTTTGAAAATATGGCTGCAGAAAGTGGGAGTCTCCCGCTAAAAATGCATGATGTTTAGAGAAAATTTCAAAATATATACTGACTGAATGGCAAACAGTGCAGACCATGATAAGATGGCATGGATGTGCAGGCTGCATGGGACACACTGGTAGAATCAATTGTATCCAGCATGCTTTAAGGGTTCAATGATTTCTGCAACAATCATGGAATTGATTGGTTGATTTCTAAGTTTACATGGACCAGAAGACCAATGGTAGAGTTCTATTTTGAGATCAGATGTGGTTCAGTTAAGTATAGTTACTAAGAATTTTCTGTAATGTCATCATATACTTTTTTGCCTAAAAATGTCAGAAATGGTCAGAATATTAACAAGAGCTGTCAGTAGGACAGCACGCTCGACTATTCTAAGTGCTTGATAGTAAAAGAGCCTTGATAATGTTAAATTTTTTAAGTTCACAAAAGAGCTAATTTTTTTTATAAATTCATGTTATAGGCCTTAGAGAGAGTCTAATTATACAGTATTGGCTTGACTATTCGGAAGGTAATGTCACAAGGGTGTTTTATTGTGTATAATAATACTAATTACCTATATATACATAAATTTGACAGAAAAGGTACAAAGGCTTGTTATTAAGATGTTTTATCAAGTAAATCACTGCTTTATTATTATGAATGCATAAAATTGTCCCAAAAAAGGCACAAACCCTTCAGTAGTTATTGAGATAACAGCTTACAAGCAAAACTTTACCATGAATTTCTAAGTTGAAAAAGGGGAGAAAGATCAGCCTAAATGCAAGATAGAATTATGGATCTTTGTCAGTGACCTACAATTATGACCCTAAATGCATATGTGAAGTTTTAAATAAATATCTTTAATAGTTATTGAGATATGTAAAACTTGCATGTAAACATTAACCAAGAGAATAAGTAGAAAAGGGGATATGAATCAGCCTTAATGTAAGATTGAGTTATGGAACTTGGTCAGTGACATACAATTATGACCCTCCAATTATGACCCTAAGTACATGTGTAAAGTTTCAAGTAAATATCTTTGAAGACCTTTAACCAAAATTTCTAAGTTTCAAAGGGGCAAATAATTCTGCAAATATTGCAGGCAGAGTTATGCAATTTTGCAAACTGATGAACATTGTTACTATAAAAAAGTATTTTAAATTTCAATTGAATATCTCAAGCAATAATTGAGATATTTGACTTTACAAAAAAACTTTAACCAAAATTTCTAAGTTCCAAAGGGGCATAATTCTGTCAATATTGTAGGCAGAGTTATCCAACTTGTCAATCTGATGTACTTTGTTACTATAAATAAGTATTGTAAGTTTCAATTGAATATCTCAAGCAATAATTGAGATATTTGACTTTACAAAAAACTTTAACCAAAATTTCTAAGTTAAAAAGGGGCATAATTCTGTCAATATTGTAGGCAGACTTATCCAACTTGTCAATCTGATGTACCTTGTTACTATAAATAAGTATTGTAAGTTTCAATTGAATATCTCAAGTAATAATTGAGATATTTGACTTTACAAAAAACTTTAACCAACGCAGACGCCGACGCGGACGCTGACGCCGGGGCGACTACAATAGCTCTCATATTCTTCGAATAGTCGAGCTAAAAATTAGCCCTGACTGTGTTAATCTGAATTGGGGAACTTTTTCATAATTTTGCAACTGAAGATTTTAAATGCAGTAATATTCAGTCAAGTAAGTCTATAAATGCTCCTGGATGCTGTTTTGACATATTTAAAAAACATCGTTAAATTTAGGTGAAAAACGAGAAAAAACTTTATTTAGCATGAAAAAACTTTCACATATGACCTTGACATTACTGACGACATTTTTTTCAAGAACACGGGTCTATGTTATATATCTATTACTACATTATCAAAAATAGTAGTCAATACATCAAGAAAATAGGAAGTTAAAGTGTGACAAAAGACAGGAAAAATGACAAAATGTCAACTGCAGACATGGCCTTATATCATACAGGCAGTATGTCAAAAACACTTTAAAGTACCTAAACGATGTCACAATGTGCACAAATATTATCTTAAATGAAACTGTCTAAATAATACACATCACATAATTACAATGTAATTAAGTTACAAAGGCATATTGTTGAAATCTAAAAGAACAAAATATAGACAGTTTCTAAGTAAAAATCTAGACAAATATCATCTTTTATTTAACTGCCAAAATACTACTCATCAAAAGTTAATTGACACCAAAATTCAAGGGTTACTATCACTATTTATAGGCAAGCAATTTATCATTAAATAAAGACATAAACAATTCTTTAACATAGAGCACTTCTATGTCAGACTGGACAACATTTCTAAAGGGCACTGTCCATTATTAAATCATCTGAGAATAGCAAAATGCAAGCTTCCTGGCGATGGAGATTGATTTTCTCAGCTAAGCACCTGCCCGATATTGAGTTCCTTAAGAGACTGGTTCACTGTAGTGATACAAAATAATCAGACTGGTTTCGACTTTGTAATGCCTCTTTGTGAGATTTATTGGTTAATTTGAAGTGAAAATTAGATTGGAGCCTGATCATATATAATTTAGTCTGCCTAAATTACATGTTTAGTGATGTATTGCTGGGGTAAGGGGGGAATTTTTGTCACCGTCTATTACTAGTTTAGACTATCTTTGCGAAGAAGACATAGTACCGTTACTTTCTTGGAATACATCATGACTGAACAAAAAATTAAACGCTGCAAAACAGTATCTATTTTGTTGTTCTGTATCCGACTGCTGCGGCATATGGAAAGCTCCGTGCAGGACGGCTGTTTGTCATTTCAATTCATCATACAACTATTCCAGTGCAAAATCAAGGTTTTCTTTAAAACCGTTCCTAATCTTTCGTTTGTTTTGAATGAAATTTAAGAGTGAATATTAAAGAAATATATCAATATATTATATAATATGCTATAATATTTCTCATCATGATATATATGTGTATATATATCTATATCAGATGCCGTAAACAAATCGTTCAGTCTGGACAAAACCATTTATCATTTTTAGAGAAAATTTCAAAATACGTATGTATATTGTTACTGACTCAGAATTATTGAATAATGAAGACCATCTGGGGCTTATCTTGGTTTGCAGTCTAATAAATTGCCATTGTAGATTCAGATTCCTTCAGCAATTAAGCTATTAAAGTTTAATTTCTTACAACTTCAAGATATGTTTTATATTCAAAGCAGATACAGTCCCTAACACAAGCATTCAGCAGTAACAAGAGCAGTGTTCTTATATGACTATCCTCAGGGCTTGACGGTAACAAAAGGGCCATCAACTCTGAAAATGTAACTAACAGTTGTGAGACTTGGGACAAAGGTGTGAAGTTTCAACCCATTCAACCGATTCCTTTCAGCAGTTTTGGTGAAATCAACTTAAATTGTATGTAAAAAAAAAACTTTACCAAAGTGTGACAATGATATAATATTAAGACAATAGCAATCCTTATACTTCCAATAACTGAGCTAAATAAAGCGCCAAGAAATGAATATGCCTTAAGCACCATACCCAAGGGCACATTTCTTTGACATTTAGATAAAATAAAGTATTAAGCCATACTTAAGGGGAAGTCAGTCTTGATTTATAATATGTGACATGTAGATAAATTCTAGCTTCAATGCCACATTGTTGTAATTGAATCTGGGCTTAATCATTGATTGTTTAGACAATGATTGCCTCGTCTTACATCACCATGAACCATGATAGTGATCCCAGCCAAAGTTTGAAACCCATGAAAATTAAAATGGGACATTCCAAGTTTCAAAACAAGGCAAATCCATTAGGTAAATTTACAAGTGTACAGCCCAAATGTCAAGTTTAAGACAATGTGATAATAATCGAATTACATGATCCTATGTTGTATCACCCTGAATCTATGCAATGGACTTGTCCGGTTTTGAAATCGGAAAAGTCAATTGTGCATTTAAGGGAATTCAGCACCCTGCTGAATAAAATGCAATTAACATAGTTTTGAACTTAGGATTCTGTGTAAATGAACCTTTTAAGGTTTTGAGGATTTATCATAATTAATGCCATTTGAAATCAGACCTGCCCATTACAAGTTGAACGGAATTTTTTCTCCAAAATATTAAATTCAATAAAAAGCCAAATAGAGGAAAGATCAGGTCAAACTGTCAACACATGCATGGGAAGGTTGGCTCATAGCTACAAAGCTTATTGGTGAGTCAGTAGTCCTGCAGGCAAACACTGTTATGGTAAAGATAAAAAATATGAAAATATTGTACTTTTGTATGACACATAATTGAACTTTAACCATTCACTTACAGACATTTTGAAAAGACAACTTTAATCCGTCTAAAAACCTCCTCAAGACTCGATCATTGATCTTCAAAGCTTTCATTTCAGTTTTATCCGAGCCTTCTTTTTTTTTATCGAATGAATATTTCCCAAGACAGGAATTTAGAGCTGTCACCGAAAGTGAACAATATCACCATTTACTAACACAGATTTATTGCGTTACTGGCAAACCTAAAATAAGCGTTACCAAATATAAGTCTCAAAAAATGTTTTTCCAGTGTTTTACGTGGGTTTTAACAACTAGAATATCAGAAAGAGAGAATATTTGATGAAGGTAAAGAAAATGATTTGTCAGTTGGCTGCCATGGCAAGCAGTTTTTACTTTATCGCCGCACACCGCGCTCGCATCATCACCTCACCAGGCATGCTGCCAATTTTGGCGCAAAAAACAAAAATTCCCGAGGAAATTTTCACAAATTTTGTGGTTTATTCTGTGAAATCAATTAATTTGGAGATAGCTTTTAAATAGAGGCTCTTTATGTATACTGAAGGTTCATTATACTATAATATAAAAATTTACAACTTTCTAATAATGCCTCTGAAAAGTTCATTCTTAAAGAGATATGGTGCATTGAAATTTTAATCATTTGACCAAATAACTCTAGAATAAAATTCTAGAATAATTCTAGTTAATTGTTCTACATGATACACCTGGTATATCCAAAGTCATAAAAAAACAGAACTTCTAGAACTCAGGGCTGCTTTAAAGGCACAAGAAGAGGTGATCATTTTTTTCTTTGGGCAAACATCATGTACTTTATAATTTTGTTAGAATGAACTTAAAATATGAGTGAGGCTTTTTACCTGAGGAAAATATATAATGCTGAATGTGAAATATTTTGTCATATAAGTAGTAAAATGTAAACAATGTGGTATTTTGAGTTCCATACAAAATACTAATTATTTTATAACTGTATTAATTGCCTAAACACAAAAGAAGCTAAAGACCATGGCTTAGGTTTAATTTAAGCCCAATTTATAACTTTTTTTGGTAACTGTAACAACTCATTTAAAATAAAAAGCTTTTGTAAACTAATAATTAGTAGCATTTTTTTAGACTCACTGGGCCTTTAATGTAGCTATAATGTAAAAATACAGTCACAAATTCTTGTCTTATTCAATTAACTTACCAGAATTTCTAGAATTATTTTCTTACCGCATTCTTGAATGAATGACACATACAAAACAACATCTGCACATGGATTCTAGAATTCTTGCCTTACATATTAGCAAATTTGATGTTTAGAAAATAGTCCTTATAATTCTAGAATTATTCAAAATAACATCTTGCTATTTTGTGATTGTATATCAACTCATTTATTTCACTGAATAATTCAATTATTACTTCATTGTATACTGAATAACCTAAAAATAATTTTTTTCTAGAATTTTTGAGTCACTTAAGTTCTAGAATTCTTGCATCACTAAAGTTCTAGAATTTTTGTGTCACAAAAAAGTTCTAGAACTCTTGTGTCACCCTAAAGGTTCAAGAAAAGTTGTGTCAATAAAATAAATGCATACTCAAAAATTAATCATATATTCTAGAATTGAATAGCCTTACCTCGTGGTATATTGAATGCTGGGAAAATACAGGAATTCTAGATGTCTTTACTTTGGGCGAACCATCAGGATTGCATATCTCCTGGAAAATAAAGAAAAGATGATAATGCAATGAAGTTGATTATCCTTGTTTGTTTGTTTGGTTGGGTTTTATGTCACACCGGCACAGTATAGGTCATATGGCGACGTTCCAGCTTTACTGGTGGAGGAAGACCTCAGGTGCCCTTCTGTGCATTATTTCAGGCACGAATGGGCACCCGAGTATAACCACTGAAGTTCTGTAAGCAAACTGGATAGCTTCCTCACATGAAAGATTCCAAAGTCCCTGTTGGGATTCGAACCCACAGCAGTGAGCGGCAAGTGGTTTGAAGTCAATAACTAATTATCCTTGAAAAAAACAACAACAAAAAACCCCACAAACTCTGTAGAGGATCGTTCCTGTGAAGTTTGGTCAAAATTAACAAAGTATCAAAAGAAATTGTGCATAATGGCACACATCAGACAAAACTTGAGTGCAGACAATATGCCATCACATAAACTTAACTTCTGGGCATTTTGTGTTCAGGTGAGCTGAAAAAAACATACACTGTAAAATTAAGGTTTATCACACATCTGTGCAAAATTGAATCCTGCTATAAAGCCAGTGCTAGGGGGCATGAACAGTACCTTGCACTTTCCAAATCAAATGGAGTTTGCAACATTTTCAATTTTGACGTTTAAGTCTGGATGTTCTTTAGGGATTCTATTTTTTTCTATTTTAGCATTTTGACTCTTAGACTCTAGACAAATTATGATAAATTAAAGTGCATCTAAATCTAAATAACCTACCAGAGCTGATACAATTTGTTGATAGCTCAAAAATTGTATGTGTTGATCCACATAGATAAATGATTAAAGCCAGAGACTTGGTGGGGTACAATAATAGTGGAGTACAATTAATACATTATGTAGATGAATGTTATAATATCAATACCTATACAGCACTGCATGGTATAATTCTAGATTTAATCATGAATTAAGATAATCTTGATAATATTTGACGATTTTCACATCATTTCACACTTATTTCCTGGCATTACCAGGAATCTGAAAGCCATTAAACTGAATTTTTTCACAGATTTTTCTGTCACATGGGTGTCGAAAGATTTGATTATGTCGAAGTATTAAAGTCCCGTTGGTGAAATAATGCAGGGGTATTATCAGATGTTATATTCCAGTGAATTACATCAAGTCATCCAATAATTGCAGTGTACTGACGTTTAATGGCAATAACTATAGGGAATGGCGTAAAAGAATGTAATATGTCGCCTCCGAAGCAAAGGGAAAACAAACAGAAATTTATGCAATAAAAGAAAATAACTGTTACATTTCTTAATATATTACACCTAGTAACAAAATCTTATCGAAATCTTATGGAATCCTTTGCTCAATAAAAGACCTTACTAACATAAACTGTCGGTAAAATTGATAGAAGCTACTGAATCCTTTCATGGTTTTGTCTAGGCTCTGTTTCAAATTTAACCTTCACTGACCGTGAGTGTTCTGACTAGTTTGTTTGTTTTTATGCTGGTTTTAGCACATTATTTTGGTCATATCTTGACCAGTAAATCCACAAAACAGGATTTCCTGGATAACTAACCAGTAACTTAACCTTTCAATAATCTATCTGCATAATTTCCACTCATAAAAAATAATGCAGACCGGATTCTATCTTGTAACAGAGGTGGGGTTAAGTGATTTCAGGCTTAGAAGGTATACACTGCACAATGTTGCAAAGCTGGTATATGGTAGGTAATTTGTTGTAAGAAAACTGCATATTCATTAAAACATTTAGAAAAATTGCCACAATAAAATATACAGATTGTGAAGCAAATTTTATCTAGATGTAATACAATCCATAAGCCTTTAGCATGCTGAAAGCAATTAACAGTCAATCTACCAAATTACGACCAGTGCAGACCAAAATCAGCAAACACAAATCATGGTCTACACTGTAAGTCAGTCTTAAAATATTTAAAATTTTTCTAAAAGAATGACAAAAGGTTTTGTCCGAAGGTTCGAAGATATTTTAAGTGTAGTATTATGCTTAATATTAGACTATGATTTTTATCCACTTAAGATACTGAACAACTCTTTTGTCATCTGTTGTTTAAACTGATATACAATGTATTATAACATTACTGTTACGACAACTTATTATCATTATGTAGTGAAAGTTGAGCCAAATTATAATATCACTAATATAATTTTTTTTAAAGAAATTAGAAAAGGACTAACATTTATATTATATTATATAGTGAAATGTCAAGCCCAACCTCTCCTTGCAACTTCCTTACAGAAAAGCCAAAAAAAAAAGAACAACAGAAAAATATCAATAAAAACTCATAAAAAAAAAACTCCTCCTGACTGTTAACCATCATTAAAACATTCAATAACAAAGCTTCTAAAGGATTCTGATGACAGAGATTCAATATTTTATACCTGGTACTTATAAATCATGGCCGCCTCTCTCGGAAGAGTTGACAACAGTAACCAAGGCAACCGCAGACCTGATAAAATTGCATGTTTAATTGCGTACAGCTTGCGACAGAAACTGAATCAGTTTTACAGCAATTGAAAAATAGATGAGTAGCAAAGATAACACCTTCATTAAAGGATGAAATAATTATTTTAGCGGCTTAGAAATTCTTCAGCTTAACGAAGACTTCTATATAATTAAAGGGAGATAATTATGAAAAAAAATAAGGTCACAGGGTTGAAACGTGACATCTGGTTCAAAGTGCTTTATTATTTTGTAATTACAATAATAAATGATTGTCGAATGAAATTCTGCACTTTGGAAACAAAAAATTCAGGTAAAAAACGAAATCATAGATTTCAATGTTAAAGGAATAAAATAAGTCACTCATTCAGGTGTCCTAAATGGATTAACTTTTATACTAAACATTCAAATTAAACAGTTTTTTTAGCAAGAAATAAATGATTAACCTTTAAATATATTTCAAAATATTTAAAGATATATACTTTTTTTGCTTGTTCAATAATTTGCCTTAAGATAAGAACCTTTCCAAAAAATTTTTTGCCTTATCCAAAAAAATTTTTTTTAATTAAGATATGCACTAAATTTTGTTTTGAAAATTGATATGACATTTAACTTTCTAAAGAAAAAAAACAACAACCCCCCCCCCCCCCACAACATCAAACAACAGAACAACATCAAATAACCAACATAATAGTATCTTTTTGCTCTACACTATGATTTTCAAGGAAAAATAATTTTTCCACTCTTTACAAAACTTCAAGCGACTCTCTTTCTTCACCGGTTATGCAATTTCCTGTCTGATTTAATTTCAAAATACCAGCAGCTCAATAAAAATCACAAGTTTTAATAATTCATGGAATTTAATTACTCTGCAATACAAGTTCCCAGTCTGTTTCAAATTCAGTATCTCTTAAATGGACTCCACTAAAGTCTCAAATTTGACATGATCATCCAGGGACTTAAAAAATATTTTTTTTTGAGATTCAAATGTTCCTCTTGATATAGATCTAGACTAATAACTTGTGTGCAAAATTTATGATCATTCGCTCATTCCGTTTTTCCAAAATAATTATTGTAACTGTGCAAAATAACCCAAAATAGACAAATCAGGCTAAGAATAGCTAGCACAAACATATGATTTTCAATTCATTTCTAAGCTTATTCCTTGATTTTCAGGCATATCTTTCCGTTTTGAGTGCAACATCTGATCTAGTCATAAGTGATTCAAATTTTATGCTTTTTCTGCTTTTGGACCTCAGTGGGGTTCCGTATCACAATTTAATTTTTTACTTTTGTACTTGGGTAACAATTTTTAAATTCTAAACCTCATGAACAAATATTTGCTTGTTTTAATAATTAAGAGCTAAAGATCATTCGGTTTTACAATTTTATTCGCTGATTTTAACCATTAGAATTTGAAGGGATTTCAAGATACAACAAGGGCTGTCAGTAGGACAGTGTGCTTGACCATTCTATGTGTTTGATAGTAATGGGGAATAATATTGTAAAAAAGCTTGATACAGTAACCTCCTCCTGTGTACAGGTTAAGGGGCATGATGGTGAACAAGTGTGCAATTAGTTTCAAAGCCATATGTCAATGGACTTTGAAAATATCTGAGGTGGATGCAAACTTTAACAATATAAGTGGTTATGCTGACGCTTGGAGTACTAGGATAGCTCTGCTTATTCTTTGAATAGTCGAGCTAAAAATATAACTACCAACAGTAAAGAACCACGCAGTTCAGACTGCATGCCCATGCCAGATGGCATTGCTTTATACTAGTGTAAGAGGCTTACCACTTTTAATTCCAGCAAATTCAGGATAAACAAATAAATGCTAATGGTAAACAGCTAGGACAGCCTAACTTGAATTGTAATGTTTGTTATACTGTTGTTATACTGTTGATGCAATAAATTATACTTTTTTTCTTTGTTTTTCTTTGGTTGGATTTTATATCATCCTTAGCACAAACAATTTCTACTGTTGTTTATAATATGATATAGCTTTTTTGGTGTTTTGAGATCTCGGGGTCACCTGAGTTCATGAGTATCTGATTAATCATAAACAAGCTTATAACCTGACATGAAAAGATTCAAAGTCCTTAGCCAGCAGTTAACCAATAATAATCTACCATTGTCTCTGTGACTTAAAATTTTAATCGGCAAATGTTAAATTTACGAACGACATTCAAAATAAAATAAAACATTAAAATTTCACCTCTAAGACAGAATAACATATTTCAAAAGAACATTCTTGCATAAAAAGCAAAACAAAAAGGCCATAAACTCATTAAAACTGTCTTTTGTATAATTACGAAATGAGGAAAGCTGCGTGACAGTAAAAAAGAAAAAAATCAAAGACCAGAATTGATGATTTTTTATGAGAAATCAATGTGACTTCGCGTAATCAGGTGATTACTATCTCTCAAAGCAGATATAATCATAGAGGGAATCAGTGGCCATTGCCCGTAATATGCTTTTATCTAATTAACGCTTCCATTTGATCCTTAGTGCATCTTAACCCTGACTTTACTGAATTT